GGGGGGCTGAAATGTTTTTTGATTGGTCACTGGAAATGTAGGCTATCTTTGATAGAAGGTTACTGACTGGTGTTTGAGTTTGAGGGACTGCGTGTAATGTTTAGTTAGAAGATCTAGGCCTGATGCGCGACAAGCGTAAATGCCGTAAAACACTAGACAGGCCTCTATATGATTAAAGATTAGCCAAATAAGCCTAATAAGCTGCGCTCGAAGAACTTACAACGTACTTGTTCAACGAATCACAAGAGAAAATGTTTCTCGAGGATGATTCTGCATGAATTTACGGTCGGGAGTGGTTGCTTTGAAAGCCACGTGGCTGGTCCGTCGTCTCTATGACTATGACCAACAGTTTCCTCCTAGGCTTTCTGTTCCTGACGTTTATAGTGCATATTCATTACATTGAGTTTGTCTTTCTCTCCCTCCCTCCCCCCATTCAACGCCGTTGTATTCTTAACCCCTATCGGGGAATCCTTCACAAAACAGTCACGTGCCGCCACATTATCTGCCAAAATGACCCCTCCTCCAAGGGAGATCACTAGAGTAATAAGGAATTGAGATGACTGCGTCCCTTCCTCCCCTTGCAAAGGTTCATGTAAACGCACGCTCCGTATAAACACACGCTGAGGAGCCCTCCCGAGCACCGTGCGTTTAGGCGGAGACTACTGTATGTCTACGTCAGTGTTTAACAGTGTATGTGTGTGTGTGTCTGTCTATCTGTATGTGTCTGTGTGAGTGTGTGTGTCTTTCTGTGTGTGTGATTGTGTGTCTGTGTTCATCTGTGTAGGTGTCTGTACATCCGCGTGTGAGTGTATGTGCGCGTGTGTGGCTGTGTGTGTCTTTGCGAGTGTCTGTCTGCTGTGTGAGTGTGTCTGTGTGTGTCTATGAAAATGTGTGTCGGTGTGAGCGTGCCTGTATTTGTGTCTGTTTGTGTCTGAGAGTGTGTCTGTTTATTTTTGTGTTTATAATGTGTGTGTGTGTTTGTAATGTGTGTGTGTCAAGCGTGTGTGTGTGTGTTTGTAATGTGTGTGTGTGTGTGTGTGTGTGTGTGTGTGTGTGTGTGTGTG